ATTACTGTACGTCTCCCATGGGGTGGGAGCCAACAAGGGGTTCCGGGAGCTAATAAAGTCTCGCCTTGATTCACCATTCTCTGTATGCCAGGATGGGTCGTACACTGTAACAGAATCGCGCAAACTCGCCGTTCATTGATCATAAGAGCGAAGTGGGCGCGCCATGACTCTGCCCACAATGCAAATGTGGTGCAATTGATTCAATGGGATTTGCGTGCTTCAGATTTCTATCCACCTACCGTCACGTGCACGCTACATCCGAACCCGCTTCTGGTGAACATTGAAAAAATCAGCTTAACGGGTCTTTTAAGGGAGGATAAAAATACCAATACATCAGCTAAGAGTCGATTCGATTTTCGCCGATGAACTTGATTGAATCCTCAGTACAGTACCTGATCATGCATACCGATCGATTCTGTTTACCCAAATCACCGCCAGGCACGACAGTTGATGGCTGATAATTGATTCCTACTTTGAAACCGGTAGGACTCCTAAAATACAGTACATACGGAAGCCCAAACATGAAACCTACAAATACAAAATTAAAATCTCAATTGGTTGGAGGAATAAAAGCATATTAGGTAACATTGAGAAGTACAAAAATTAGTTTTGATCGGTTCCAGTAAAACTTCACTCATGATCCGATCAAACAATCATAGAAATGGCGCGCTCTCCAAGTAATCGTATTTTAAATTTTCAAAACGATTAGTCTACTCTATGGACTTTATTAAAATAAACTGTAAATTGATTACCATTCTACAAATTGGACTGTCCTCTTCGCTTTCACGGCCGAAATTGCTGAATTAATATCTTTTGGCACAACATCGCCTCTGTAGAGTAAGCAGACCGCCTGAACAATACTACACTTTGTGGACCTCATTAGAGCCATCGTGTCTCGACAGCTGCTATTTATGGAAATTCGCTCCTTCACTCATTATTACGGAATGTAACATGGCTTTCTATCTTACCAGTAAATAAGAGATAGTATTGGGTAGCTTACAAACCTTCAACAGAAAGCAAATCCAACTAAAACACTTTCAATGGATGGCCTGGGAAAAGTCTCGGACCTTTTGGCTCCCACAGGTGAAACGTTTCCCAGAAACACTCTACCCACAACGGATAGCATAAATTATAGCTAGAAAAACGTCATAAAAAATTCGATGTAGTAATCGGTGCCACTGGAAGCACCATGCCCTGCCCCGCCCACTCAAAAGACTCCACCCACATGGAAAAAATGAAACAAGTTTTACTACAGCTAGTTCCCAGTTTTTTTGAAATCAAGAGGTACTCACCATGTATTTGCCTCGTCTCGGATCGCATTTTACCATTTGGCTTCCAGGCTCGAAACATGCGTTCGTAATATCGGCTACAGTATTCTGTTCATGATGAGCGTTATCGGCGGCGACTAGTGGAGCATAGGTAACCAGTGGGAAATGAATTCGGGGATACGGTACCTGCAACGTGGACATGCTTTTGGTGTGAAATGAATGAAAGGAAGACTCACGAGGTTGGTCTGGAATTCAGTCAGGTCGACATTCAAGGCTCCATCGAATCGTAGCGATGCCGTAATAGATGAAACAATTTGTGCGATCAAGCGATTCAGATTAGTGTATGTGGGTCTAAACAATTACTTATTTCTCAGTTCAACTGAAATCGAATTTATTTCACGATTGTGGATTTGAATAATTTTAAAAACCCTAAAAACCGAATGAACGACTCGTAGATGGACGCCAGAAAAGTAAATTCTACAATTATCCATCACTCCATCATTAAAAGGGCTTCGAACTCAAAAAAACCCAGCCATGCAGTTCAATTTTTCCAGGCAGAGTAGGTTCTGATGTTCTTGGGCTCTTTACGATCACTTAACCAGGATGGATGGGTTTGCAAGACGAAAAGTGGGCACGCCAGAATTCTGGCACGCCTGATGGAGGGAGTCTTGGGGTGATAAGGGAAGAGATCGACGTTTGTGGATGGGTTTCAATTTTTGCGCAGCACAACTTGAAGTTTTTAAGACTGAAATTATTGAAGTTGCAAAGATCTTTGGGATAGAAGACATAACTACCCTCACAAAAAGAAAATTAAATAATTAGTAAGGCAACTTTCTGAAACCTTGCTAGATCGAGCTTTCTTCGACAGATATCATAGATCGCCTCATTGTCGGCCATGAACGAGCAATCCGAATGTTCTAACGTAGTGTGTGTCATTAGTATCGAGTTATACGGTTCAACCATTGATGTTGAAATCTGAAGAGACCATAACTCCACTAAATCAAATCAGGATGCAATCGAACCTATTCAATTGAAGAAGGAGGAACTGAAAGAGACTATCGAAAACATAGTAAAAATAGCTCCGAGGTTTATAGCCTATTTCAAGGGATGTGCGGATTCGAGCAAGATCTTAGCTTTTTGGATGGTGCAAACCCACAGGGGCGTATAAATTTTAGTCAGGCTCGATTCCGTCTTCCCACACGCACTTGCTACAGAACTTCGGTTGTAGCAACTCACAGATCGCAAGGTGACAACCACTTCGATGTGCGAATTTCAGTTTGGGCTATACCCTACATATGACACCTTAAACTACATCCGACAAATCTCCTCCCTGGAAACCTCCAGCAAAGAAATTTAACCTCACGATTACAAAAACTAAATTTTTCAAATGCACTTCGAAATATTGTTCTCTGTAGCACTAAAGAGTGATGTGATATCCCTTCGCCCCATGTATGTACTCATCTTTTCCCACCACCCTGCAGCTCCTAACAGTTTTACTGCGCAAGTATAACCAGTACTCGCACTTACAGGACAAACTTCCGCTTACTATGTATGTAGTAGCAACTTTCAGCAGAATTGCATGAAAATATTTGAAACTATATAAAGAGCCAAAGATTATCAGGTTACATTGCATATATACACTGCGAGCATAGAATCATTCAAAGGTTTTTCATTTGTTGCCAATGCATGGCGCAATCACCATGAATTACATCGTTTGCTTAAAATTCTTTCAAACCTATTACCTGAGGGGCAGGGTAGATGGCGAACTCCAGTTTTGGTTTCTTGCCGTATTCTGTCGAAAGGCGTTCCATGAGGAGTGACAAGAAACCGGATCCCGTTCCACCTCCAAATGAATGGAACACGAGGAATCCTTAAAGGATCATTTTAGTTGACCATCCATCAGGAGAATCAGGAAAGGGTCATATCATATGTGAATGAATTTTGTAAAGTTGAGCGGAAGTGGGCAAGTGATGGTATAGGTGAGATAAAATTCAAACCCCATTACGATTCAGAATGGAAATCGACCAGCGGGTGCAAACTATAATGGATTTCAAAAAATTTATTGAAACGGTGACATGGCTACCTCAAATAAGGACGTGCGAACCAAAAAAAGCCTCCTCTAATTGTCACACCTGGTTCCGCTCACTAGCCCTAAGCCATTTTTCCAAAGAAGGCAAGGATAGACACTCAGAGAAAGGATAACGTAATGGATAATCCATTTCTGTAGTCCAAAATCTCGATAACAGTAAGTTTTTCTGAGTCATTTAATGGCGAGAGTCACAGGCGAAAGCAGAAAAATGATTCCACAATGAGGATCATTGGGCCTCTTCTTAAGAGATTCCTCCCCCCTAAAAGACGAAAGTTCGAGCCTCAATGCTTGGCTAATCCATCTATTCACTTCATTCAAATAATTGGTAACTGAAGGCTCGGATGTTTATTATAATTTCATCACCTTGTAGTCCTTTGCAGGCTTCCGCAAGGCGACGCACCCGATCCATTACCACCTATAAATAAAAATTACGAGACTATTTAATTTAAATAACGCGAAAAAACTAGAATTTACTTAGAAATGTATGGAGTTCACTCTTAAAATGAAGTAAGATTTTTCATTAATGCAGAAACAATATTAACACGGATATTAGAGTTGCTGTAGCCAGACACTTTACGTAATTGCACACAACTAAAATGTCGTCAAAACACCCCTTTCATCGTCCTAATCTAACTCATGAATTTGACTGCTTTTATGACGCATTTTCGCCAGTTCTGTGAATCTTCTCGCTTGCTGCGCCACCAAAGCACTACTTCATGCCAGCGCTTCCATTCTTCAGAGGCACAGTTCACGATAAAATGGTTTCTGAGATTTTCCAACTGGATGAGTTCGGGGCCCCTACTGATACCATATGAGACGATATCAGGTTGAGAAACGTCCTGGATAGAGCACAATAAGGGGCCAGACATTGTATCGTGTGAATGCCACACAAACAGCGGACGAGTTTCAACGGCGTCGTAGAATCCGCGCCATTCACGAGGAAACCCATATAAGGGGTTTTAACAACTTGTCATGACCCATGACGACAGTGGAAGACACTTTCGGATAATATTGACTTAATGTAGTCAGTCTTTGCGCAGCTGCAACATTTGAAATCTCGTCCAAATACCCCTTTCATGCCATTTTCTTCATGGTTATCTCGTACAATTTCTAATTTCACTACTTTGAGGGCGCCTTCTTTCTCACTAGGCCGGTCGATTTCCTCGCTTTTTTTGCCAACGATGATTTACCCTTAATACTTCCACTTTTCGACTTAGAAAAGGTACCTCAAGACTACCGTGAACTGAGCCTTGAACATAAAGAGGTACCTTAGAATTACCGTATGCCTTTCACTTCTGATAAGATCTTTGATCTGATCTTGATGTATAATTCTTCACTGAGGTAAAGGCTAATAGGGATAAGTACAAGCTAATATTAGGTTCCTCGTTTTGCATACAACATTTGAAGATCTTTTGGCTTTTATTAATGCACATTCAAGAACTAATAATTTTAAAGTCGTCAAAGTTCAGCTATCCATGTTCGAAAATCATTTATGAAAGGAAGCAGATTAGTTGCACCGGTGAGAACCCAACTATTGCTTCTGAAATTTCAGAAAAAAGATCTGAATAGGAAAAAAATTTTCAAAGGAGTTTCACTTACATCGATCATCTCTCGACCAATCGTATACCTGCCCCTTGCATAACAATTTGCTGCATCTTCTTTTCCAGACAGTAATTGTTCAGGATGAAAGAGTGTTCGATAGGTGCCCGTACGAACCTCATCTGGAATTCACAGAATGGATTGCTTATCAAAACTTTTTTGGTTGCAATTTGGCCACCTAAGTATTAAGAGCCTGATAATAAATACAAACTGAACATCCTGCAGAGAGTGAATAAACAAATGGGTAAGGTCTAATCATAGGTTCGCTCACGTTTCCCTTCATTTCCATTACAATGCCATGGTCTTTGGAACGAATTCCTGATCTCTGAGTCTTTGATCCTTTCGTAGGAAATCAATTTTCACGAGGGAGGGCCAGCAATGTCTTCATTCGTGTTTTCCAGATTAAAACAGCCGGCAGTGCCATTCATTGGTAAAATCAAATGCTAATATTTACTAACTAGTTTTTCTATCTAATTTTGATATTTCTAATTTTTCTGAACAATTGATTAGAACTTTCCTTTTGATTGTATAACCATCCGTAATTATCTCACCCCCTCACCTTTTACCCCATAAAATGAATAATTCTTACCCTCTGACGTAAGCCTGTAATTATGCGTTAAAGTGTGTCCAACCTCGACCTTACTGGATTACTCCCTCATTACTAGCTACTACAGTCCTAATTGATTAGATAACATCGCTACTTGTGAAGGCCGTCTGTCTCCAGGAAAACTCTTCGAGAAGATACTGTGCTTACTGGAGGAGGAACTCATTTCACTTCTGTAAATCTGGTCCATCAGAACATCAGAACTGTCGCCTATGATGGCTAACCGTGGAAGAATAGTCACCGGCGCTGCTATTACATAACTGATCCATGGATCGAATTCCAAATAATCAACTATGTCTTAGGGAGCCGTTCAAGATCGACTACGTACGAAGGAAGGGATTCGACTAGGCAAAGGAAAATTTAAACTACCGATTAACAGAGCCCTTTAGTTTGTAGGATAGGTGAAACGCCTATCCAATTATTACCACGACTCCGATTAAATTTTGAGACTACGGCGTAATCCTCGGAGAAGGCTCGTTCGCTTATCCGTTAACTCTGGATCAGATTGTTTCTATCATACATAACAACCCAGAAACCATAAGGGTAAATCAATTAGCGCAAGCCAAACGCTAATCCTGGAATACGCCATGCATCTGCTTTGTCACAGAAAAAGAGGGCTAGTTCAAATGTTCCATGCTCGTCATTATGACAGCTTCAACTGCTCAAATTAGTGCTTCTGCTTTAAAATGTGCTTGAAAACATCCAGTAGACCTTTCATAGCAGCGCTCTATAACAGACTGCTGCCCTAGCAGATATCGAGGAACACCGTCATGGAGTGGGCTGCCGGTACTAATCTCCTCAACAGATTGAGTAGTGCGTGAGGGCCAAAGACTGCAACCAGGACAAGCGCACCCTGATGTCTGAGGGACCAGAGTTTCGTAATTGTCAATTACTTTTGGTACCGGAAACATCGAGCAAGTTCTGAACCTTTTGCCACCTAATGATCAAAGAACATACTTCTTTGACGGCAGAAAGCTCTTACCAATTAGAGTTGGTCGATGCGTCACATAATATTAAAATGGGTACACCTAGGCTCACAATTTTTTCACTTGCCCCTGAAAATCAGCTCGAGGGCGCAGGCGAGAAGCAAAAAATGAGGATCATTGCAGAAAACCGTAGGCTTAGGCCATACCGTCGTCTTCCCGATACAACACATGTAATTCTTGATTAGGTCAGATGCTACAAGAAACAGGAACGGGGAATTGCAGTACAGGGAAAAGGTTTTACAGGGGCTTTATGGTGAAATGGAATGCAGTGGACGTAGAATTTTTCAGACAACATATTCCCTATCGACCTTATTTTACCACACAAATCCTCAACAGGCCACATATACAACACATCGAAAAAAACCCCGGGATCACATGGGATCTCGTCCAAGCCAAGACCTACATATCAATGACTGTAAAAGTCGGTTAGCAGGATAAATTTCCCTTGCTGTTCATAAGGAAAGAAAAACAGTGTAGGATGATATTCTCACCGATTACTGTAGGTTCGAGATCGACAAAAAGACATCGTGGCACGTGTTTGCCTTGTCTCGTTTCAGCAAAAAACGTATTATAGGCATCTTGTTCGCCATCATTGTAATCGATCATCGTTCCATCTGTGACAATCAATAAATGAGACCAATGAAAAATTTGAGAAAGAGCAGAAATATGTACGGGTTAGCCACTCTCGTAGAGTTCATGCTGTTTCCACAATGATAAACTTACGGATATACATGTATGTGGCCAACAGAATTCAACATCATAACTGACAATTTCAATTAAAATAAGTAAACAAGTAAATGGATAAGCATAACAATCGAATTAAGGTTGGACTATCTTAAATAGTAACAATTTCACGTTCAAATATCTACTTTCAGTCAGTTATTGTCTGATTTTTGATTATGACGTCGAATGTGGTGGCACACTTAGGGAGCGGTGTGTGCTAAGTAAGTTTAAATAAATAATTAAGTAAACAATTAAACCAACAACGAAATTATAAATAAATAATGAGCTTTTCTTCCAAACTTAGGGTTTTCCGAAAGGTTATACAGAATCTTCTGACAAAATTATTTTCTAATTGAAAAATGTACTTACCAGGTTGAATAGCATGTTCAAGACAGTACAGTTCCCAACAAGCGTTACCGATTTGTACTCCAGCCTGGCCCACATGGATTGAGATCACCTCACGCTGAAATGAGAACCTTAATTTCAGAAGTTTCAAATGAAATTGGTTGAACCTGTTAGTTTACTCCTTCAGTCTTGGCTCGATCGACAACTGGCTAGATTTTTGTTTATCATAATTTTAAGGGTTGTAAGCTCATTTCTTTAATAAAAATGTATTTTGGGATGTGTCATGCCATCGACTTTCATTCAGATCCAACAAAGCGTTAGGAGCTTACGTGAACCCTATGACAGCTTGCCCAAAGCTAGCCAGTGTACAAATCTGTGACCTTATCTGATCAATTCACATCGTAATATCGGAGGGCTTGGTGAAGCCGAGAGGTTTAATCTAAAAACCAAGGGTGTGGCAGTCTAACCGACTGCCATTCCTCCACTCTCGCTACCACATATTTGTAGGAGCTACTGTCAATATTGCAGATAATTTCCGATGAGGATCCGGAGTGAATGAAGTACCCTTCCATTCGAAGGTGTCTTTGGTGAAATTATTGCAGACGATGACTTGCAGGACCTCACTTCACCTGTGGATGGTAACCACTTCTATGTATTGTGTATCATAAGGTGAAATCTGAGCCAGTTGCGGATTTGTATAAGGAGCTATGCAGCACGACACTTACATCCGAAAAAAGAGTTTGAACAAACTTATCGACAATGAGACCAACGAACAATCTTCTTCAATAAGTCTTGGCAGTGTATGGGTAGGATCACTCCAGATACTATAGCTCCAGAAGCGCGATCAAAGGATCAAATCATCTATCTANGCCCGTTCTTGAAAGCTGAGGCTATAATTTACTAGGATTACTTTAGAAAAGAATGACTTTAATGCCCAGTCCGTGCAAGACATGACATAAGCCAACTAGGCATTCAAATACTGCTGCGAAGTCGAGGGCATGGCGTAGTCCTGTGAAAGGTCAAGCACCTTTAGATTCCAATGTTCCTCTCCTTGCGATCATTCATGCTCTAGGCAAAAAAAAATCAATCGAAAACCTGAACTCAGTCTTATCAGGATATTAGTGCTGTTACCAAGGGCTTACAAAGATAGGTTGGTTCCTGGTCCCTTGATACCATCTCTTAGTAACTGTCGAAAGCTCACCTCACGCCTTAACACTCAGGAGTTGTCTATGAAGTGGAGAAGGGGTAAGGTATTTGTATATAACCTGAACGCGGAATAACCTCACGGGTGGGAAATCATATTGAAAAGAGATTGTTGCCTTCACAGGCAGTGGTATCTCGAAAACACCTCAAAACCGCTCTTCAATACTGTATGAAAGTCGAATTGTATAGGGAAGCAATCAAAGAAGGGATCGATTGAGGTTCAAGCTCCTTCTTTATTCTTTAATTTACAGAAATCAGGTTTTCTCTGAAAAGAAAAAGAATCCCCAGGCTATGGACAGATAAGCAAACATGAGGCTCGGGCCGCTCGGATGTGGGAATACTTGAAAAATTTGATTAAATAATTTTGAATCAGTTTTTAAACTTGTCGAATATTAGAAAGTTAAAATTGTTCCTGTTGAATTAGACCAATCATTAAAGACTAGCGCCATATCCTGTTGCCCGAAGTTACGATTCTTCGATTACAAAAAAGCTCCAAAAGGTTGCCAAAGGGGTCATTTAAAGATAAGATACTTACATTACCGCGATAACTTGACATGTAGTAGTAATTCTGGTCAGTAGGTGGAATGTAGCGGTCGATGAGCGGTCCTATGACCGTTTAAAGCTTGGAGCGCGTGGGCCTTTTCGATAGGGACAATGGCCGCTTAGCAACATGAATTTCCGCCGGAATCACTTAAAGAGCCGAACACGCTTGAATTGATGAAATGGTCAAACGCTACGAGTACAACGCCCCTAAAAAGAGGTTTGGAACAAGTCATGTAGTAACGAAAGAAGAGTAATGAAGTATAAACGCTCAGTTTTGGGGAGTACACCATGTATCTGGCTATTGCTGGGAATAGTGAAGGCGCATAACTAGGCATCAGTGTAGCGTGCTTCCTACCTACTACTCAAATTTCGGCAGAATTCCAGTAACCACCCCTGAAGAGGGAATAGTCTCGGGAGTGGCAATTTGAGTGTTTGTAATTAAACCAGGGTTCCGATGTAAACACGACCGATTGTTTTTCCGCCCCACTCTAAATCAGGGAAAGCTGGTCTAACTCTATTTAGCCATTGCTCGATACGTTACGACAGGATGTGCCAGTTCATAGGAAGGGTGGAATGGTGGCTTTCAATGAAGTAACAGGCAACAAATACTGCCGAAAAACTTCAAACCACAAGTTTGAAACCTATTATGAATACTCTTTTCTCAGTTGATTCGTGACAACCCTCATGCCTACTATTCATNTCTCCTAGAGGGGGGGGGGGTACAATTTTGCTACAACTTTAATTCCTAGGATCCCATAGAGAAAAACTGTCTCTACCGTATCCGGACCTGAGAATCGGATCCCATATCGATATTATTCGAACTTGCAAGACTCTTACCATCTCAGGATCGTACCTGACTCATCCTCCGTGAAGTTGGAATCACTTAAAAGTATACTGGGTAGCTACTAGTAATCATTTGAAAAGGCCATATACCCATACTAACACAAGCATGACCCCAAGTGAAAGTCAGGTCCGTGGCGCATATCCGAATCGAACTGACAAATATTGAAGTGATGACTTTTTTGAAGGGAAAATCCAACTCATTTATAATGAAACTGTTACCCAACAGTTGTCAGAATGGGTAAACTACCATATAAATTACAGTATCCCTGAGAGCTTAATCCGATCAAGACTGGGTTTAGGGGTACGCAAACTCCGTGGTCGTCAATTAGCAGCAGGTTTTACGTTTTGATACGTATCTTCAGTAGCAATTAGAGTGTCAAATGTCATGAGAAGAACAACATGTCATAGCGATTTAGCCGAACGTCAACGTCTTTGAAATGTGCGCTCATGCGTACGACCTTGCATAGCGCATAGTTAGTGTAAGGAACGCATGATGAGAGCGCGAAAACGTACGTACCCGCGATCGTAAATGGCTGAGAATGAGGTTGAAGTTACATTTCGAAGGATGCTATTTATATTTCAATATATTCCGTTTCGATTATAAGAGGCGGAGGTCTTTGTTATGGATCAGAACCGCCTGGGAAGAGCCCCCACATTCGAGTTAAAATCGGATACGTAGCGACTTCCGGTGACCAGAGTTTGTACAAGTCAGCACTTTTATCCTCCCAGACGAGTCTTGATCCAACTGCCGATCCCAAAGGGAAGGCAGGAAAGCCCGTTTGAACTGGGCAGGTATCAATTCGGGATTGAACCCCTGACTTATGCGTGAGTAACCACTCCCACTACACCACCCCTTCGACCGCATTGGTTTAAGCTGTATCGGAATGACGGCAACAGACGCACGACTCGTGTAGTACGCAAATTCAGACACAACGTTTTCTTGATTGGATAAATCTGAGGGATACTGTGGCCTCGGATTTCTAGTTTTTATACTCAAATTCACGCGAGTTATTCATTTTTGTCGATTTTGAGCAACAAAAGCATGCTTAACTGTGATTAATGGTGCTCCCATAAGGGTGTGGCGATAGAGTTGAGGAAGTTGACTTCGCCAACTCAACTCCCATCTCTTAGTAAGAGTCACTAGACAATCGTCCATGTTCTCTCGAGTAACGAGAAGTTCTGGAAGTTTTTTTTCAAGCTGCATGTTTGATTTATAATAGATTAACTTGAAAACGAAGTCGGGAAAGTCTGTACATGCTTTCAAATTCCCTTCAAAAGTATCTGTGTATAAAACGTAGAGGGAATAGGAAATTTTTGATTGACGACTTTCTGGGGTGCCCTGAACGTGAGCGCTGCTCTTAGGGACTGCTGACGTGAGGAAATTTTAAGGCACATTTTTTCTTATTTCCAAGACCACTACCAAACGAGACTTATTCACTTGATGAACTTCATTCATAAACCCTGGGAAGACTCAGAAACAACTTCCTCCAATATGGATGACCCTATCACCTGCCGTAGTTCATCAATGGCCCCCAGTGAGGCTTCGTTTCGTCTGAATTTCGACCACTTCTTCCCTGGAGATAACGTGCTCCAGAGCGAACCGTGGTTTTTGGGTAAAGATCCTTGTCTAGTTTAGATGGTACTTACAAGAATTTCTTCCTTGCATCACCCCCTTAACAGTAGGAATACCTTTTCCCACTTCCCACTATCTCTTCCTCCCTCCTAATAATTTTCTGTGTTGCACTGTATTGTATTGGCTCCATGACACCATTTCCTACGGTCCTCCTGAGGGGCCTAATCCGATTTCCCAGTCAAAAAACCCTTGGTGGACAGCTGTAGCCTACGGAGACAGTTCATCCTCAAAAAAAAAAGCTCAAAAACAATGTCATCACTTCGCAGTAAGCGCGGTGCGTTCATACTCCTCAAAATCGCTCTCATCTAGTGGGATTCCTGTCAACATCATCCAGTTACATGAGTTATTACATAAGTTTTGACTTCAGTTGTACGGACCTTATCAAACCCTGACAAGTCCAACACTTCCATATCGATTTTTAAGTGTAAGAAAGTGCTGGTCGCGTGCCAAAGTGCGGAGAAAAAATTGGCGCACGCCAATGTGGGGGTGTCGATCACTATCAGGGTTCTGCAAAAACCCCTACCCCGACAAAATTGATGTGAGTGACGGCGATTCGAATTTCTACACCTAAGAGTTTATCGAAAAAGAAACACGAACCTATCCTTCAACATGATCGATGAGGTGCGATCGAACCCGATTCTCGTAAGAGATAGGCAGCCGCCACGTACACACGAACGTCGAGACGCCAAATCGAGCCCTGTACCTGGGAGAATGTTGCGAAATGTGTAGAGAACCTGGTGAATTTATTAAAATCAAATAGATAAATTAGGTAATCGTTTTATAAAATAAAAAGGGTGATCAGTAAACTTTTTCAGAATTTTTGCAAAGATCAATTAAAAATAATCATAATCAGTTGAACAAATCAAAAGATAATAATTGTGAATGCAAAAAATTTGGGTTTGATAGTAGAGACTATATCA